GTTTAGACCAAACCTTTCAGTTTTATGAGAGATTTCAAAATCTAATTTTCATGGAAATGTTTTCATTACATTAAGGGGGGGAAGGAGGGAAAGTAAAAACCTTCGGCAAAATCTTTTTCAAATTAAAGAGTTGGAAGCTCTGAGTGGATGGATTGAAAACACAAATACCATCAGCAAATTATGAGACCATGAGAACCAGGAAGCAAAACTGATTATGATCAAAAAAAAGTGAAATTCACAAATAAATAGAAGTTTCTTTTCACCCCTCAAAAGGAAAAGCACTCTCAAACAGAGCCAGCTCCCCCCTCTACATTCACATGGCTCTTTTTACTTTGCTTATATCAGTACCTTGACCACTTTCGTTTATTTCTTTGTGCCTTTTTTTTATAAGACTCCAGATATGTGGCAGAGCCACATTTCCATCTTCTGTCTTTGTCCAGAGGCTGGAGAAATTTACATAACAAACACAAAACACTTTCCCACTTCAAACTGCAGGATTCAGGGATGCAAGAAAAGTGTCTGACACCGGGATACTCGCTGCAATAACCACGCATCTGCCAGCCTGAGGCCAAAATTAGATAGATATGCCCAAGGAACATAAATGGAAAGGAGATAATCAAACTTCTAACAACTGCTTGGTGTTAGTTATCTGTTACTCAACCTTTAGTCAAGCGAGCTCTCCTCAAAGCCTCGAGGATACGCGCAGTAAAACCGGCACGCGCAAAGATGCTGCCGACCAAGAACTGCGCTTTTCACACAGATCATTTACAACAAGCGCCTTAAAAACAATAATGATCTGATCCTGGCTTTTCCTACATCGGCTTCTGGAAGAAGAGAGCTCTGGAGAGTGTTTCTTGAGGAAGATTTGCCGCTGTTGGTAGGGACTGAGGCACTGGCGGCTTCCCCGGCTCACAGCGCTGTAACCTGGGGACACCAGCACCAGCGGCTGCCCCAAGACTCTCTGTCCATCAGCAGGACAAGACAGGAAGAAAACTCCAAGGTTTAATCAATTTTCCCCTCCTCTATCTATCAGCTGTACATCCCCTGTCTACGGACTCAGCATTTTCGGGGAGTAAGCGCTGTGATTTGCCAACAAAAGAGATGCTCAATCGTCCGAGATAAAGCAGAGGTTTGCAAAGAAAACCCTGCAGATGTTCCCAGGTGCTTCTTCTCACCTTCATCCTCAGCAACTCAGCAGCCCAAAGAATTGCTTTCCACATTTCCACGCAGTGGCAGAGCTTTTCCACCTCTTTTTACATTTTTTTTTTTTCTGGTGAAGGATGGGGAGGCACAGGAGCACAGACAATTCAGGACTTAGACACTCTCTTTTACTCCTGCAGCAACCTCCCTTGTTCTGATTAAAAAGAGGCAATTAAAGCAAAAGGAATAGCCATGTGGGAGCAGACTCAAGGTCCTCCAGCTCAGGATGCCGTTTCAGACAGCCAGGAGCAGCAGTCAGAGGGTTTAAGCCCAGGCAGCAAAGGAGGGATCTCTGCCCCAGCTCATCCTTGCAGCCTGTGACTGGCGGCTCCCTGAGCCGGACAGTGCTCCAAACACTGCTGCAGTGAGCAGCCATGCTCAGCCCTCCCTCAATCTGCCAGTTCTTTATTGAAATAACACCTATTTCTGAGCTGTGCAAAATCCTGGGGTGACAAGCCCCTTCACCCAAGAGTGAGCAGGCTGAAAAAGCCTTTCCTCAATCTGCTGCCAGAGCAGAGGGGCTGCAGGCACAGCGATGCTCTGCCTGAGCAGAGGAACTCACTCACCTCGTCCCAGCAAAGTTTTCTGGGATTTCCTCGAGAAGGAGCAGCAGCACTGAGGGGTCACAATGCTCACTGGGACAGGAAAAATATCATGGGGGGACTCAGGCAGCCTGTGCCCAGCTTTAACTGGGAATCAGCCTGATATAACCTGCCAGCCACCCGAGTGCCAGCACTGTTATACTGAAGAGAGATTAAAGGACAGCAAAAACCCCAAAACACAGAACTTGAGCGTGTAATGGACTGAAGAATGTTTTATTTGCTCCTTACGAAAGAAATCCCAGCGTAACAATTCTTCTTTTGCTGTTCATGCTTTCTCCACACCATTTTATGAGCCATCAACAGCGAGCCTCAAACAAACCAACCAAAAAAAAAAAAAAAGCAGAAGTCAAAAATGCCCATCTGAAAAAAAAAAAAAAACCCAATAATTGAGAATTACCCCAGAGCCACAAGCTCTGGGAACCCACAGGCAAGTGACAGTTTTCTGTCACCCTCATAGGGCACAAAAGCAACAGGAGATCATTGCCCTTTCTGGGAAGTTTGGGGGATCCCCTCAGCTCAGCATTTTCATCCCAGCTTTAGCCGGACTTAGCAAAAGCTGTGCTACCACAGCGAGAGTTGGTTTTATCTTAACAGGTTATTTTGTGACAAATTGGAAGTGGGATTGCAAAGCCCTCCCAGCCAAGCAGCAGAGGCAGGGAGGTTTGCCCTGATGTTTATCAGCTTTTAGGGTAAGGTGTTCAGAGCTACGAGCTGAAGTGAACTTGGTAAGAATGACAGCTCTGCAGCAAACTCAGCTCCTTAACCCACAGACAGCTCTCCCTGCAAATATTACAATCACAGCTGCTCCCAGGAATTTTTTTTCTTTTTAATAAGAGAAATGTTTTATCCTGAACCTCTCTCAAATAAAAGAGTGGTGAAATATTTCCTTCAATCTCAAACATCCAAATAAAACCTTCTGTAATTTCTGTGTCAAACTACTTATCTTAATTTTTGTTTACAAAACCAGCACCAATAATTTGGTTTTTCACTTCAGTTTGGGATAAAAATCAGTGGCAGACCAGCTGATTTTCCTTCAGTTTGGAAGAACATTTTTTGTATTCTTGAGAAATCCACAATTTCTTCAAACGGCTTTTACCTTTTCTCACTTAAAAACAGGGGAATAACTGAGCCCTGTGTTAGCTTTCCCACTGAACCAATTCTCATTTTTCACCGAGAAAAGCTCCTACCTCTGCTGCACTTCTAGCTCCAGCACAGTCCCTTTCCTGCATGGATTGCACATTTCACAGAGCACACACAGCAGGTAGGGAAACTGAGGCACAGAGACTCCTGAAATGCGCTAAATGCATCCAAGAGAGAGCCACAAAGCCCAGATGACAGCTCTGCCCAATAAACCTGGTGGAATTTATTCCTCTCCCTTTCTTTTTTCTCGGTCGCTGCTTACTTTAGAATACTTCTAAAACTTTCTAATTCACCGCAACGGTATTAAAACTTTTACAGCGTTCAGAGAATTTCTAAATTATTGGAAGCTGTAGTTTGGTCCCTGCTCAGCAGTGCTGGCTAGAAAACAAGCCCTTGGACAGCTTTTTTTGGGGTTTTTTTTCCTTGCTTTTAGAGCAAGGTGAGTATTGGTGAAACGCGGTTCTCCTTTTCCACGCTGACCGAGCTTGTAGTTGGCAAGGGGCAAGATCAGGAGTAAATCAGGAATAAATCTAAAGAAAATATGATAAACTAAATTGGGTACAGAGCAAAAGTAAAAAAAAAAAAAAGGCGTCTGCATTCGATATCTTGCGGATTCTCCAGCGGCACAAGTTGCTGAATCGGGGGCAGCCGCAATCACTGTTTTCCCCGCTAAAATACACACCTTCAGAGGCAGAAGTCGCCGTTTCTCGGGTCCTGGGAAGGAAATATTTTTAAGCCCTGTCGCAGCGGCGGTGGATGCGGCTCTCGGGGGGCAGAGGAGCCGCTCGGGCAGCCTCGCTCCGTTCCGAGCGCTCCTGGAGGATGCTCCCCGCCGGGACCGCATCCGGCCGCGCCGAGCCCGGGCATCCCGCGGGCGCTTCTGCAAGGAGCGGCGGCTTTGGGGAAGGTTTCCCTCCTCCCCAGCTCGGTTTCCTCCGGAATACCGAGAAAACCACGTCGGATCCACGGGGAAAAAGTGTGTCGGAGGCGGCTCCGGCGGGGGAAAAAAAACTCACAGAAAACCAAACCAACAAAAAAATCGAAAAGCGAACGAAAATTGCAGTTGGCATTTTCGTTCGCTTCTCGTTTTGTCTGGTTGCTTTTTTCCCCGGGAAGGTCCCTCGGAAGCGAGCCCGTGTCCGCAGCCGCGGCCAGCCCGGACCCCCACGGCCGGGGATGTAATTATTTTAACAGAGAGCGGCTAAAGGGGGGTTACTGACCCTGCACAGCCCCCTCAGCCTTTCTGACAGCGCTGCCCTTGGAAAACAACACGCGGCGCTTGGAAAACGCCGCGCAAGCCGGCGCCCATCCCGCTGCCCACGGCCCCGGGGCTGCTGGGTCACGGCTACCCGAGCTGCGAGCTCGGAGTGATCCGGACGGGCACTCAGAGACCGCTCTGCTCCCTGTCCTGTCCGGATCGGGGAGAAGCGGGGCTCGGGGGAGCGGCTGCACTCGGGAGCCGCACTCTGGAGCCGCGCACGCACCCTCGGGCTGCTGGCGAGCCCCGGCGCTCCCGGCAGGGCAGCGGACAATGCTCCGGACCCCATCCAGACCCCTGAGCAGCCTCCCGGTGTCGCGCTAAGCACGGCGCCGTGCCCGCTCCGACGGGCCGGACGGACGGATGGATAGACGGGATTGATGGATGGATGGATGGATGGTGGGATGGGTGGGATGGATGGATGGATGGATGGAGGCTCAGCGCCTACCGCGCCTTGCCCCGTCCAGCCAAGCGCCGTTCTCAGCGCACCCCGGCACGGAACGGACGAGGGAGCCGAGCCCGCGGGCCCGCTCCTGCTCCCCGGTTCCCCGCAGAGTGCAGGAGCCACGGCACCGGACCCGACGGGCACGGCGGCGAAGGGCAGGTCGCCCCTTTGCCGGGAAAACAAGGGTTTCACACTCCGGCGGGTGCCGAGCCCGCCGGGGCTCCCTGCGCGGCGGGGAAGGGCGGCTCGGGGAGCGGGGGAAGCCGGGCTGAGCACCAGCGGAGCCCCCTCGGAGCCGGCACCGCCCGCGGCCGGCCCGGCGAGAGATGGAAGGGGAGGATGCCCCCGCACTTACTGTCCTGCTGCGGGGTGTCGCTGCCGCTGGTCAGCCCGGGGGACTCCAACAAGCTCCGGCCGGGCTCGCCGCTGCCCTCCTCCGCCTGGGCGGCCACCATGTCGCCCGCCTCCTCCAGGTCCAGCAGGTGACTCACGGAGAAGTTCTTCTTGGCTTGTAAATTGTCCAGGCCGGCGGGGCCGTCGAGGCGGGCGGGCAGCAGGGCCTGCCTGTCCATGGTGTGGGCATAGCTGGACGCCATGGTGCCGAGCGGGGCTGCTCTGCCCTCGCCCCCCGCGGGCGCCCACCGCCCCCGCGCCCCCCCAGCCGCCGGCGCTTCCAGGGGGGGGGAGTAGCGAGGAGCGGAGCGGGGCGAGCGGGACGGGACCCGACGGCAGCGGCGGGTAGGGAAGCCCGAAGGGGAGCGGGCAGGGCCGGGCTTAAAACATGCCGGAGGGGAGAGGCGGCGGCCGGCTCGGGGCGCCGGGGCGGCGGCGCGGGGAGCTGCCGCCGGCCGAGAGGCGCAGGGCGGCTGTGGGGCCGCTGGGGCGGGTGCGCCCCGTCCCTCCGCCCCCGCTGCCGCCGGCTCCGCTCCCTCCGCCCCTGCGCTGCCCTCCCCTCCCTCTCCTCCGCCCCGCACTTCAAACGGCGGGGGCGGCTCCGGGCACCCGGGGGACGGCGGCCTGCGGGGCCCCGCCGGGACGTGGCACCGGGCCGGGGGTGGCAGCGCAGGCCCCGCGGCTGAGGGGGGAGCCGGGCGGGGCCCCCTCCGTGGGCCGGCGCTGCACCTGGAGGGGAGGGTGGTACGCGGCCCTGAGAGGGAGGGAGTGAGCGAGGAGAGGAACGGCGAAAATGAGAAATGCAGATGAAAAGGTGAGCGAGGGTAATGGGAGAGAAAGTGCGAAGAGGAGAGAGGGAAGGAAGAGGAAAAACCAGCGAAAGAGGAAGGAAAAGTGCAGCGGAGAACTGAGAGAAACAGAGAGCGATAGGGGAGTAAAGTGGAAAGAACAGAAGGAAAGGGAAAAAACAAACAAAAAACCCCGAGGACACGGTCGGGGCTGCTGCGGCCGGCAAGCACAGCGGGCACACAGGGTGTGGTGGCCCCGGTGGCCGGGGACAGGTGACAGCCCTCGGCCCGTGCCCAGGACAGCGGGGCCCGTGCGGGGCCGGGGCCGCCTCAGGCCGCTGCTCCCGGCGGCCGGCGCTCCGAGCTGCCACAGCCAGCCCAGAATTTCCATCCCCCCTGATCTGGGGAAGGAACATTTGATGCCATCAAAGGGCTCCAGATTGAAAACAGATGTGCTTCCCCGAGCCTCTCCATGCATTTAATTAAGGCACAGGCATGGAGGAGACGTTTCCATCATTAGTTTGCTTTCAGCCCCCCCCCCCCCGGTCCCAGTTTACCCTTTGCAGTCTCAAAGACCCAAATGAGCAGGGCAGGGCTTGCAGAACTCTGCTGTCCCCGGTTTGCAGGGTAGACAAAGGTGGAAAGATCAAAAAAAAACAACTTTGGGGCAAGTTGTGCATGTACACAGAAGCATGTGAGTGTACATCCACCCAAAATGCTGTGGGTGCATCTGTGCATGCAGCACAGAGTGATTTCTGCATCCAAAGGACGATTTGTGTGATGTCCTCTGGTACATGTCCACATGTTGGATGGGAATGTTCAGGCAAGGCAGGGTGGGTGATCACCTGTACATCCCCTGATCATGCGATGCCCTTTTCTCTGCCTTTCCCAGATATCTGGCTGCTGCCTCCTTTCTTGGTGAGCTGGGGTTTCCCCTCTCTCTCCCTGATCTGCTTCAAATGGATGTTTGCAGCTGGCTGTCCTGAGTGGGTGCTGGAGAAGCCCAGCCATAAAAATCCCTTTCCATGGGCAGTGGGGTCTGTTCTTAGCCTGAGGGGTCAGCAGGAGCCACAGAAACCAGCACAAGAGGTCTCTGTGACAGCAATGCCCTCACTGACATCCCTGCTGAGATCTCCCCATGTCTAAGTGCATCCTTCAGATCATGCTCCCTGCCAGCCCTGGGGTTGGGAATGCAGCCTGAATTTCCCCTGGAAAGGAGAAGGAGACAGCTCCAAAGCTGAGGCTTCACCCTGAAGTGAGTCCTGGCTGCTCCCCTCACCCAGAGGCTGAATTCCAGTACAGGGTGCCTGATTCACATGCTGAACGTGGCCTGAACCCCTCCTACAACTCAAATTTCTGGATTTCTGTCCCTGGGTGGGAGGGACAAGCTGAATCCAAGGGGAACTCTGACAACTCTGTCTGTCCCAGAAGGAAGGGGACTGCGAGCAAGGCAGGGCTGCAGTTCATCTCTCAATTATCCCTGTCATGCCCAAGGCACACCTAGGATGTGGAAATGAGTGCAGCAGGGACCTCCTGGGCTCTGACAGGGATAGTGCCTGTGCTGCCAGCTCAGTTTGTGATGCACAGGTGACAGGATGCCCCAGCTCTCACAATCCCGAGGCTGGGGAGGGCTGCCATGCCACAGATGGCCCTTTTAACATCCTGCAGGCCACCAAGAAGTGATCAGACATTTATTTCCTCCCTCACCACTGCTCTGGTGTCAAGCTGAGCAGGTAGCTCCCCTTCCCCCATCCTCCCATCCCACTTTTCCTCTCCAATGTGCACCTGCCCAGAGCCTGCTCACAGCCCCATTCCCCCTCTCCCAGCTGTCCAGCAAATGGTTGCCTTCTCCTCAAACTCAGGGCAGGAGCCTCTGAGCCCCTTCTGTCAAGGGAGAAGAATTAAAAGCCCTGAAACAGCCGGAAGTCTGCCTGGTGAAGCACCCACAGTGAAAGACTCAGCCTCACACCACAGCCAGACCCCAGTTTTGCCCCTCCTGCTCCCAAAAGTGGTTATCATGTTGAAGGACATCAGTGAGACTCACCAGCTGGAGCCTTGCCTCAAAACCTCCCTCCCCTCTGCTGTGACCATGTCCAACACTGGGAGAAAGTGCAGCAAAAACCACAAACTCCCCCATTTTCCCTTCCCTGGTTGCATTTCAAGAAGGGGAACCCCAAATATCTGCATCTCTGCAGATGAGCAGCACGTTTTGCTTCTGCTTTCTCTTCTCATAGAAAATCACAAACACCCTCCACAGAAAGCCCCTAACTGGAGTGTATTTTTGATTCTTGATGTTTCCCACGAGGTCCTGCACTGGCATCTCCTGTAGTTCCCAGCTCCAAGGATGTGCTAAACCCTCAGAAACATTCCCTTCACATCTGTCTGAACAGCAGCTTTGCAGCTTCACAGTTTTGGTGCCACTTCTCAGGTACAACAAACAGGACCTGATGAGCCTCCCTGAGGCTCAACAAGAAACAGCCAGAGCAGATGAGCAGCTGTAAAATCCCCAGGGCAGCTCACACCCCTTGGGGTTGGCATTAGTGTCAGAATGGCACCAAAAAGAATGGCATCCCATTCTTTCAGGCACCCTAAATATCTTTTCTTCCACCTGGGTTTGAATAAAAGAAATAAAAGAAGGACTTTGAATAAAAGAAACCATGCAGAAGAACCTGTGGTACCCAGCTGTGTCCTCAGCTGGCTGGTGGTGTCATGGCATTCAGGAGAAGGAGCATCTTGCTCAGTGAGGGAAAGTCCTTTGGGTGTCCCCTACTTCATTTTCAGTGTTTAAATTCTTTGAGCCTTTTTTTTATCTGGCAAATGTGTTTCATTCTAGAAATTAAAGAAAAAAATAATGCAGGGGGGCAGTGAGGAGCAGGAGCTGACAGCCAGAGTGCAGGAAGCCTGAGCAGAATGCACACACCATCTATTCCTGCTCCTTGCAGGGCCCTCAGGTATTTGCAGACATGCTGAATGCCCTCCAGCTTTGCCCTTTACAGATTTTGGGGGTCTGGCTCATATTGGGGTATGCAGCCAGGGCTGGGTGAGATCTGCCTGGAGCTGGGCACAGGGAGCACCTGCAGGGACATCTGTGAGCATCTCACATCTTTTTAGAGATTTTTGGGGTCTGTGCTCATACTGGGCTCTGCAGCCAGACCTGTGCCCCACAAACTCCTGCTACACACCTCCCTCTTTTCTTCCCTCCCCACACAGAGGTGTGTTATTACATCTGTGGGGATCAGGTAGTCTACAGTCCTTCCAAGCTGTAAACTCAACATCAGGGTTTCTTTTAATCCCAAACATCTTGATGTCATCTGGAAATGCCATGAGCAGTTTATAATTAGGGTTTAGCATGCAGATTAATACCAGCAGCTCCAGGGTGAACAGACCATCAGAGTCTAATCAAAGCTTAAATGGGGCAGCAATTTAGTACTGAGATTTATTATTCCTCTGTACAATATTTTGAACCAGAGGCTGAGTTCACAGCACACACAATCATTCCTGGAAGTGCTATCACATCTCCAGTCAGAGCAAGGTGCCTTGTTACTGGTTCATGGGGGTGATAAAGACTTGGCTCTGGGAACTTATTTAGGAATATCACAGCACTGACACTGTACAAGATTTAAAACCTGAGGCAGGAGAACACTTGCACACATGCTCCAGCCCATGTGGATGCTGGGGCAAGGCCATGCACTTATATTTTTTTCTTTTTTTTGCTGTGCACCAGGTGTAATAAGGGAGGTGTCCCAGGACAGCCTGGGCTGGAGCCTTTCCCTTGCCTTGTCATTTATAAAACAAGTGGAGGAGGGGGCTGAGAGAGTGGAAATTTGTTTATCAGTTTGTCTGTACTAGTCCCAGTTTTTAGATTGCAAGGCAGAGCTGCCACAGCTGTCACCCAGATTTCAGCAGGGATGACAGGCACATCCACCAGCTGCCAGTGGCAAAAACTGTTTTTCTAGTTCCTTTTTCCATCATCTCTCCACCAAGTGGGAGAGGGGCTGTGAGGAGTGTCCTGATCCCAGCCTGGCTGGTTGTGGCTCTGAATTAGAGCTCAGCTCTTCCCTGCCTTGGCTTTGCTCTTGCCAGGGATGCCATGGGGCTGGCACTACAGGGCTGCAGGGGACAAATGTCACACACTGTGACCTCTCAAGACAATCCATCACCATGGATTCCACCAGGTACCAGCACAAACAGCTCCTCAGCACTGTTTTGTTGCAGTGGCTGTGAGCTGTGTGAGCACAGGGCACAGTCCTGCAGTGGGCAATGCCTGTGTTTATTGCTCCAGCACCAGAAAAGCAAGAACTGCTTCTCTGGTTCCTTTTTCCATCATCTCTCCACCAAGTGGGAGAGGGGCTGTGAGGAGTGTCCTGATCCCAGCCTGGCTGGTTGTGGCTCTGAATTAGAGCTCAGCTCTTCCC